CAGTTTGGTTAACTGCATCTTCTCTACACTAATCAAAATTGTTTGTTCTGGCTCAATACAACAGACCAAGTCAGGTTTCTCAGCAAAGTGCCACTCATTATGTCGTAAATCTGGGACAATACCCATCACGACCCAAAAATCGTAACCAAGAATCAATGCGTGCGGTGAGTCCGGCAAAACCACGACCTCCATCAATTTAACTCTTTCGCGAACTCATATAAGGAGTTCAAGAGTACCCAAACTCTGGGCCTTCTGTCCATTGGCCAAGGTACAACTTGACCTATTTTCCACATTCAGAGGCAAGTTTAAATTCCGCAATATATTCCATCCCTTCTGCCCAATGAATGTCCTTGACGCACCAGAGTAGTAATCCTAGAAATTTTAGCCCCAAAATGTCAACTTTTAAATATTGGCGCTCATCATTCTTAGCATGGTCCAGAATGAACTTCAATATAGGTCCATAGCCGGTGGGGTAACGACCGGTCCGACTCCTAGTCCGACTTCCTAAGGACTAGCGTTTCCTGTACTACACTTAGGGCAAGTCTTCTTGGTAAAACCTTTCGCATTACAGCCATAACAATGAACTGCCTTCTTTTCAGCACAACCTATAGCCCGGTGGCCAGGTTTCTTACACTTGAAACAAATTATTTCTCTTACAGTATTGGAAGGTTCCATAGATGAGAGGTGAATTTCGTCTAGTCCGACGTATGCAAGTTCAGGCTCCATTGAGAATCCTTTTCGTGGAGGCGGGGCATAGTCTACAGTCAATGATCTCTGTTCAATTCTCTTACACAAAGTCTTTAACTGTGCAATACTACTTATGTATATTGGAGAAATGTTTCTCATCAAAATAGTAAGTCTAGTTTCTTCCGAGATCGGACACTGTAAACGCTGGAAGTCTTTAGACATAACTGCCATGTATGTCCCAATGGATTCGTCATGGCCTTGAGTGCGTTTCTTTACTTCTTCTAAAAAACGCTCTGAATAAAATGCCGGTTGGTATTCCTCTTTAAATCTCAACAGTAATTCGTCCCATGACTGTACTTCGTTCCTGCAATCTTGATAAAATTCATAGGCCCTTCCTTCAAAAAGGTCTATCCCAGACTCAAAAGGAATGTCTTTTGTGACGCTCCTGGCACGGCGCATCTTCTCCACCCTTTCAAAGAATGCCGTCACCGACATACTTTTCCTACCACCATCAAACTTAAGATTCCACTTATGTGGTAGTGCTAGTAGTACTGCTTGGTGCCGGGGTCGACACAGCTGTGGCCATTATGGGTGATGCAAAAGAACTCGCTAAAGGCTGCATCTGCAATGGTGATTGTGGCAAGCTGCCTTGAAGAGCCCATAAATTAGGGGGAATAGGTTGGTTGGGTTGGTTTCCAGTATCAACTTGAGCTGCTTTGGAATTAAGCTGATCTATCATACTCAAAGCTTGAGCTACAAGGATTCCTCGCAATTGAAATTCATCTGGAGTATTGCAAATCATGTTGTCCAATCGTCCCAATAAATGGTGCAGTATACTGTTAGTCTTTAAAAAGGCTCAACTCTTACTCGAGTCTGAAAAGGCATCAATCATAATTATCAAGCTATCCAATGACTTAGTGCAGGCTTTCACCAGTTCGTTCCATCTTTTTGGCCAAGGTCAAACGTGCTCTCATCTCATCCACATTACCACTGACTATGCCTCTCCAGGCAAGTTCATATATTAACTCCGCCTTACCAAGACGATTAATCTCCACTCGTCGAGACCTGTTGTCTTGTAATAAGAACTCACTAAATCGTTATGCCGAAACCAATTATCACTCACTAGTGCTATATGTATTTCACCAAGCTACACCAACACTGCACACACTAAATGAGCAATATCACTTTATATGCTTCACAAGCTACACAAATTCTAAAGTCAGTCTGTATACAGGGAAATATCTAAATTGGGAAAACACTGATAGGAGCTGAGCCCTATAGCCAATAACCTGCGTGCTATTTATAGGGCCATTCGTTAGCATCCAATTCAACAATAATAAAAACCTTTCAGCAATCACTAACGGAAACTGCTCTTTTAGGAAAACTGGCCCCACGTTGGGCGCAAAAATGCAAAGCTCAATTTCTAGAATCTAGAGGTAGGAAACAACTATTATATTTGGCAGATTTAGGAATCAACTAGGCCTAAGGTTTAAGGCAAATTTGTAACGTTACAGGCTCTTAAATGGAGAGTAAAAATTTTAAGTAAATATAAAATTGATAGAGCAAATGATAGAACCACTTTAATGATAAAATTAATCACGAATTGAATAAAATTCAACATTAACAACTTACAAATAATTACATAGATATACCAGATTCTTATGCAAAAATATGAAAACATTTTTTGATAAATCAAAATAATTTACAATAATTATCAATTATGAGTACTATTTTATTGCATATTAAATTATTGAAATCATTTTAATGACAGTCGTACTAAAGATATGATTTTCCCACGCAATGCTAAATAATATTTTATTCGATTACCGGTAGCCGGATCGGTTTGAGATTATCAAGAAGCTCCTCATGTTAATCACCACTTCGATAATAACGGTTGCCTGGGTAGTTAAATGTTAAATTTGTTGATAGGGCTGTATATATTATGGATGAAAAGATTTCAACAAATTTATAACCTCCCGGATATTATTCCTTGTTGGATAAATAATAAATTCATTTTTGATTGGCACATTTGGTAGAATGCTGATCTTCAATAACATTCTTTTAATCATAAATTAAAATACTTATTAAAATATTTCACGGTTATTACCAACGGTCAATTAACTTTCGAGCATCTTTCAATACATTTAGGCACTTTTAATTCCATCCAAATTGTAACTACCATCGATCGGTGACTTGTTAAAAATAATTTCAATCAAAGCTTTTAGCTTAGGTGGGTGAGTTTCATTAGGCTATTAGTGAAAGATGATAAATTAACCTATTGGAATTGTGCACCTCAAGATACAATATTGAAACAGCATTCAAATTTGAGCTATATCTCTGAAGAAAACAATATACTGTCTGTCTGAAAGACAAAATTGTTATGGAGCAATAAATCAGTCAAAACAAAGTAACTAAGTGAAACTTGGGTTGGGTTAAGAACCAATACCCCTCGTGGGAGGTGTATACACGTCAATACATAATGTACGACAGAGGGCATTAAAACAGCAAACATTTTTATTAAAGGTAATAGAAAACGGAAAGACTTTGTTGCAACTTCATTAAACATTTTTAGTAAGCGTCTTGCGAAAACTTTATCGAGCTGCTTAACAAGTCGTTCTCGTATATCTTCATATCAGGACGTGTCAAAATTCTCAGGCGTAATTGTTTGGGCCGATATTAACGATATCTCTTAGTGCCTCTGGCTGGCCGTTTCGATAGTCCATTGTTTTCGGACAATGAGCGCAACAGATCCCGGAGCCGAAAGAAACGTCGACATGGTGGCATCAGTCATGTCCTAATGAGTCGAAAGCGTTTGCTGGTAATTTTTTTTCCCAGTGGTCCATCATTTTAACAGTAGCTTTCGGTTTTTGAGTATACGCCATGTTAACGATAAAAATTTAGGAATTTGCTGAATTTCTTACGGTATAGCAATAATGGAAAAAATATATTTCATTTTGGTTCCAAGTAGGTACCTACAAATGTTTGTTTGTCTTTTCTCTTACGTTTTCCTATGATAATTCAGTCTCTGCAGCTTCGGATTCAATTTGATGATGATTTTGATAGCAAAATGGTAGAATGTCACAGAACGAACGACCCCAGGAGGAGCATATTATTGATTTCTCAGAATTATTATATCAACGTAGTACGATTTTTCCTGGAGTTATACATAGTATCACAACCCATGATGGAAATTGCTGGACAACAGCGTATCTCAGGAGCTTAATGTCGCTTTTTGCAAATAAATAAAGTTTCATAAATAAAATAATCTCTGAAGTTTTTTATCTTCATTAGAGAGCCAAACAAGTTTCACAGGAAGTAGCTGTGTTTATTGGTCTAGTGGTGCTGTTTAATGTTCGATGGTCATGTCATTTGAAGGGCTAGAACCAATGGTTGTGGCCCTTCAAGTGACAATGTGTTTGTTACTATGAGGTGAATTTATTCCATTTCTCTCACTCAGGATTTTCAGAAGAAGCTAATAATTCTATTTCTAAACAACTACTCGAAGAAGAGCTTCAAGAACTATTTCCCGAAGTTTCAGAAGCAATTGGCAAAGACAAGCAGAAACAGATGAATATTTTGACCTAAATAAGTTTGTTTAGAGTAGACAGAATGTTTATTTTTGATACCTCTTGATTGAGGTAGGTTACTGACTTGTGTATGATTCTCGTTTTAACTATTCAAGTACCTATTGATATTGTGAGAAACTTAGTTCCATGTTTTTATAAACAGATGTCAATTAGCAACAAAATATTTATGCTTATTCCTTCAAAGTGGACAAATCTTGATAAAATCGGTTGACTTTCATCTACATGATTGAATAAACATAGTACAAAGAAGAGTGCAGAATTTACATGACAGAGACAAATAAGGTAAGAATCTGTTTTATACATAATTTTAATCAACTCCCGTTATTAATTGTATCTCAAAATGCCAGACAACCCGTCAAAACAAGTGATTTCAACTATCAAAATATCCTATCACACCAACCAACATATCGCTTTTAAGTACCTACTAATAAAATTACCTAGAAAACAATTCATTTCAAAACGCTTATATACAAAAAAGCCTACATACTGACACATAATTATTTATCGTTGTGAATGCGAGTGCATATGCGAGTGAGGATGTTGAGGATGGCCGTAACCCTGATGGGGCGGAGGCAACGGACTAGGACACGCTTGCGAATAGCCGCCGTGTTGCGGCGAGCCTCCTAACGATAAATGGCTCTGCTCTAAATGGGAATAGTGACCCTGACTAGCTAACGAGTGAGCGTGCGAGTGCGTATGCGGAGAACCGTATACCATTTGTCTTACTTTGGAGTCCTCGTCGGAAATGTTGTAGGTCAGTTCGGTTTCCTCGAAACCAGTGGCGGACATGCGTTGGTCGCCTCCTGCTGATCCCACGGGAGGATCGGGTGAATTAAGGCACGTTTGGATCAGTGCTTTGCCAGCTTCCGATGTGATCATTGGTTGAAGTTTTCTGGTGGCGAAGGTGTAGACGTGACCAGTTTCGGAGGCTACAAGTAACATTACTTGCGTGCCCGTTAAGGTCGACAACTCGTACGCCTGAAAATAAAAAAAGAAACTATTAGTGTGAATAATAAAAAACGTGTAAATGCTAAACTATGTATTACAATCAATAGCAGAATAACATAATATTAAAGGGAAAAAATAAACAAGGTAGCAAGGACAGATTGAAGAAATTTGGAAAGCTGTCAAGAAGTAATTATGGAATAGGCAGAGGCATTCAAAAACGGATAAAAATGAACTCTTAGAGAGAAGCAATATATTATCTTGAATCCAAATTTCTTTAAATGAAGGAAATTTTCTCTTTTTAAAATAATGTAGTCTTGAAGTTAGATATTTCAAGTATTTGATTAATCACGCATATTCTCTTGGTGTTGTACACAGGATTATTTGCTTAGATGTATTACACATTAAACTAGTGATCTTTAACCAAGATAAATACTTTCATTCAAAGATTCCTGTCTCTTTCTTTTGAGAGATAATCAATAATTCTGCGCGCGACGCTGCTCCTAGCCGCGCCACTTTGACCGTACGCCGGTACCCTTTACATTAGTGCATCTTTCATTTCTCCACGTGTTGTGTTTTCTGTTTCATTTGTCACTTATCGGGTCCAGGTTGTGGTTTGCGAATAAAGTCGGAAAACTGGAAATCCGTTATTCAGTCCTCGGTTATGGTATGGAATAATGATATAATATTATTTTTAACCTGTTTTATTTGGGGCCAAATTATGAGCCAACTGGTAAAGGTCCTGCTTGTTACCAAGCAGGTGAATTCTATTCTCTAGATATAGAATTTACCTGCTTGATAACATAAAAACCAGAACCTTTACCATATATTATAATTTGACCCTTCCTTAGTAGACAGGTAAGGTTTAAGACTGTTTTTTTATGCATGGGTGAATTAACTTGTTCTGAAATTTCAATTTTCTTTTCTGTTAATTATACTGGGTGAATCCGAAAGTGAGGTTTTTTTTTTAACGGGATATATATCTCACCAAAATAAGTTGTTTGGCAAAAAATTGTTTATACAAAAAATTTAAGATAACGGAGTTACAGGTATTTCAAGGTCTTAAGAAGACTCCAGGGTCCTTATTCTCAAAACATGGGAGCAGCATTCTTATGAGAACGAAGGTCCTATCTTCGCCGCCTTATTTGCCCATACTCATGTTTGCATAACACTGACAAAGACCAGATCAATCGTTCTCATGAGAACGCTGTTCCCCAGTTTCGAGAATAGGCATCCAATTATAAAACATTTTGCTTACATTTTCTCGGAAAAAAGCAGTTATTTATCCAGCATAATGAGTTTTTTTCCATAATAGATAATCTACAGTTGCATTATTCCATCAGAAAAATCAATCAAAAACTCCTTTTTCCATTTTCAACTTAATTATTTTTATATCTTCAAATACCTGTACCTCCGTTATCTTAAATTTTTTATGTAAAAAAATTTTTGCCAAACAACTTATTTTAGCGAGATATATACCCTGTTAAAAAAAAAGCCTCACTTTCAGATTCACCCTGTACTTAGTATATAGTCACATAAGTATGTAGGTATTTTTTAACCATTTTCTGTGCTATGTTTTGTTTAAATATAGTTATATCATTAAAAATGTTTTTTCAGACAACATTGTTTTTTAATCCAAAGAAAACTTTCCTGCTATGTAAAGGTTGTCCTAGAAATCAGTTATAGCCTATCCCTTTGGATAAAGGTACTTGCTCCAAATTAACAGGCTCTTGAACCAAGGAATCCATTATTTTGAGCAAAAAAAAGGCTTCCACCTAAATCTACATTCCTTAAATCAAGAATATTGATTTTTGATCCAAGCTTATACGAAACCGAAGCTTATATTTAGCTACTTAGTCAAAAAACTGACATGCTTTAAACCGCACCATCGAGAACAATCGTCTTCAACTTCCTTTAGGTATTTCTAATAGTGCTGAATCGACTGCTGATTTACTTTTCATTAAAAAAAAAAATGACTCAGGAGCCAAGAGTGCAACTTGCTCATATTGCGTGACGAAATAAAATAAAACTAATAATAATTCAAGCCAAGAGACATAATTCTCTGTCAATTAAATATTTCATTAAATCATTCCGATAATATTACTAATTACACCTCAATCATTATTGACATGAAAAGGCCAAAATATCGCATTCAAATCATCAATAATAAAATGCCTTATTACGGCTTCAATTTCGTGATTCATCAATTTTTCACCCAAGTACAATAATACAATACCAATAGTTATAGCGCTATTATAATTTTTGCCTGAAGATGATATCTTGATCGTAATTGTAATATCCCAAGCATCAGCTTTCCACTGTATTATACCATTTTACATTTTATTGTGATATAAATTAGATAGTGATTCAGTGCCAGCTATTTCATAAGCTGGCCGTGATTTCGTGTGGGTATTATAACGAGCATTATATACGATGGGTTGAAGAGAAGACAAATAATGGGTTTTTGTTGCAACCAGTTCGATTGACTTCAGTATTAAACGATCATGCAACAATTAAATTGAATTTTTAACGTCTTTATTACAACTGGAATGTTTATAGAAGGTGTCTAGGCTTAATGATAATAAATTGGTATTTTTTTCTATATTAAAAAGAGAGGTTGCCTAATCCTTTAAAGCAGCTATCCGAGTTTAAGATAGAAAAAAAAACGCTTGGTACATCAGTGGGATTTTCTACGCTCGTCCATTATATTTTACAGAAATTTCACTATGATCTTTTTCTGTAATCTCGGCGAAGGATGTGCCTCTGAGTGCTTCACCTAGCACAGTTCGATAGAAAGGTATCAGGTCCCCAGTCTCCGGTAGTTTGAAACTTCCTGACAAGATATTAAACAGGACATATAAAGAACCTGAAGGAACCAAGAATTACCAGAGCAGATTAGTTTGCCAATAAGATCATCCCTCGCTGCATATTTTAACACCAAATAGAAGAACTGATATACACTAAATCAAATGCAGACATTACTGCTTTCCAAAACAAAATAGAAACCTCAAGTCCAAAAAATGGAAGTAACAATATTCGAGCTTATGGAAAGAGAAAAAAGGGCAAGTAACATTTGTTACTCGAAAAACATGATTGAAAAGTAAATAATAAGATTTGAGGAAGTGAGACAGTGAATGAGTAACTAAAACAAAAAAAAAATAGAAAGAGAGGATTGGTCCGTGGCTAAAATCTAGAAACAACACTTCGTGTGAAGGGTTGCCGACTAGCTTTCAATGCGGAGAGGGGTGTGGATCAATTAAATAATTAAATATAGACCGCCACCTGCTTTTCCCTGCAGTACAGGAAGTCAACCGATATAACGAAAGCAGGAAACTTCTACGGACCTATAGCAGCACAACCTGAAATATAAAAGTAAACAAGAAGGAAGGGCAGAAGTGAAACGCTTTGCTACAATCAGGTACGGGTTTTTAATTAGAACCAGAGCAGGTTTGACTCTAGAGAAGGTTCAGAGTGGGTTTTCCGAACGCCCTGGAACACTGAAAATTATTAAAACTGGAACCAGAACAAGAACAAAATAAATCGACCCAGGAGTACCTAACCTTACGTTCTAAAAATAGTATTTACAATAATTACACTCAACTTGAGTCCCCAAATAAAGAAGTAAAGAGTATTGTATAACACTTATATCAGCAATAATACCTGAAATATAAATTAATAGACAAGCTTACTAAATGCAGTACCTTCGTAAATGGCCATTTAACCCCAGTGTACAAGTTTTTTTTTCTGTATTCAGTGCAGCATGTATTTATGGGATATAAGAGAGATATAGATCATTAATTATTAAAGTTGAAGTAACAATACGTAACCTGAAGAGCGAATTTAATATTATGGAATAATGTAGGTAATATAGAAAAATAATTAAAATTGAAATAACAAAAACCTTAAGGGCAAATTTAATATTGTAGAAGACTGCGTCGCTGTGGTGATTGATTCCAACAAGGGGTTGGTAAGGTTTGATAGGTTCCAGATATTAAGACAATAAACACAACACACTTATCAAACCTGAGTAGTCCCTAATCCCTTGAGGGAAACCTGAAGGATTGGATTGATATCTTTCAGTGTTTCCGATGGCCTGGGACTGGGTCAGGGTCGCGACAAGAAGCAACTGGCCCTGGCCACTGAAGTTAGGTAATTAGAAGTCACTTAAGCTTCCAATTGTTTAGCGGAGGCTGAAGACAGGAGATACGACTTGAAATATACAGTAAGCTTAACGTTTAACTGTTTACTCAAAGTTAAGGACTAAAGTGTGACGACTAAAGGCCCGTAACAAATGGACGTGATGAGCCCAGTCTCATGGAGCGATAGGTAGGTAGGTCCAATATTCGGAATTTACCCATATAATTAACAGAAAACTATGCTTTTACATAGGCAATAGATAGAGAAACACAGAGAAAACCTCTGCTTGTCCCTTCAATGTCCTTTAAAAAGGTTGTGTCAAAACTCCAATGTGAAGGGTTCTGGGGAATTTTGATGGTAGTTGGGCATGGGACTATTTTAAATTAGGTTGGTACCGGTCATTGACCTTATTTGAAGCGCTGTCAAGTCAATCCAATCAAATCAGACAATCAGCTGTTCTAATGTAAATATTGTGATTTTGTTTATTAATAAATTTATTGACTATTTATTTTAACCCTACTAAAAAGAAATCAATTCCATTATTAAACCTCTTTCTTGATGATTCTGGGAAGAATGAAAAGTTTGAAGGAAAGTGTGGCCACAACTATTGGGAAAGAAAACAGTGGCTCGACGAAGGTATGCCGTTCAATGAGGCGAATACGCTTATTTCCTTTTATTTTGGCCCAGAAAAAATCATCCCGTAACACATTCTTATTTTTGGAATGGACGAATCCAAAGCCCAAAACTATGAAGACAGAATAAAGGAAAATGTTAAGTCAAGCAATAACAGCTCGCTAACAGAAAGCATCCTACCAAAAATTTGGACCCAGGCTATCATAATCTCAATTTTTAAGAGCTGAGACAAACATCAGCCTGTAAACTACCGACCAGTAAGC